GAGATATGAGGACGTACGTCGCACTCGGTTGCCAACGTTTCTAGAGAACACTGTAGATCAGTTTCAGAAGATGTCAATAAAACAAGGTCGTCTGCAAACTTAAATTTTCTCGTCTTCACATCTCCCTCGCTGATTCACTCATCACCCTGACCATCCTTGACCATTCTATCCATGTACAACACAAACAGGATAGGGGACAGGACGCAGCCTTGGCCGAGAACACTGCTAATACTGTCAAGTAACTGTTTACTTTAACGCACCAGCTGCTGTCAATATAGCAATAGGCCATGATCCCATATGGCTGCAGGCACGCCCATAACCTGTTGCGCGCAATTCCGGCATTGAGTTTCTCCAAATCGATAGAGCCAGTGCAAATTGGATGAATGAACTCGTCTGATTTCTCAAAAATCGGTGGTAAGGCCAAGATTTGGGCTGAAGTTCTTCGGGCTGACCAGACTGCTCTTCTTCGATAGCTGCATTCGTTTAATCAAATGTATGTTGAAAAGGCTGAGTGCTTGAAGGTGCGTTGAGGGGGGGGGGTGAGATTCATTGCTTTCACGCCGAGTTGACGAATTGTAAATTATTTGCGCTAGCGGATCAACGAACAGCTGATCTGGCACAACCAAGTTGCAGCCACTACTATCAAGAGAAGAAAGCGATGCCCCTACGTCTCAAGATAGCGTTGCCTCGGAGACGGCATCGGCTTCAGCTGGTAATTTGCCCGGAGCCGCAATGTGTGACTGTTTCTGTGCTTTGTGTCATGCAATCCGTACTGTGGCAAGGACCGGTGGGTAATGTTACCGTAAGTTCTGCCGATTATCTCGCATGCGGGATTCTCGCTGACCCTTCTGATCTCTTTAGCTCTCCTTAGCTTAGCTCGTTTTTCGGAGAACACTACAGCAGCTTTCGTTCTCCCCCTGGCCAAACCAAAAAAAAATACAAGTGCCTGAGGGTTTTTGAGTTTTTATGTACATAAAGAGCCTTTTTGCATAATTATGCTATTCAAACGTTTCGCCGTTCCTTTTGTCGCATTCTGATCCGGCCATTGCATGAGGATTCGCTGAAAAGAATACGGGGTTATTAACTTGTTATAGGAAATAAATTTATGTCTGACTGTTGATATAACTGAACATCCTTGAGACAGTACGGTATATCGGATAAAGAAAATGTCAGAAAGCCACTGATGGAATGCTGGGAATTCTAATGCATACCTCAAGTTAGTTTTGCTATGACAATGGTCACACTGCAGTGTGCTAGTGGCAAAATGCTTAGGAGGTTCGGTCTGAAACTCCCGAGGTACTTGATTCGAATTCGCTCAAGGGAAATCATTGTCTAGGCCGTGAATTCTCTTAAAAAAGAAATTAAACTCACAATGTTCTGTACAGGCAGCCGATAAACGGGCAATGAATGATAGGGATAGCCTGAAATTCTGGTCCGGTCGTGCTGGAATCGATGAGATGTATGGATAAACTGTCTAAGCGAGCACCCATTGTGGCTGTGCTTCACCTGATAACTGACTATTCGGTGTGATGATCAGTACAAGATGTGTCCCTCCTCGCCCATTTCGGTTTCGTTGCTAAGCTTTCGTGGCAAAGTGACCTGTTTATTTATCAAATACATGCAGATACATTCATAGGCCAAATTCGTAACGACGCCAGGCCTGGTGAATTATGTTCCATATTTGATAGCATTTCTTTGGACCTGGTTCAACTCGAAAGTGGCGAATAACCAAACGCGTCCAATCAGCGCAGTTTTGTGACGACGATGTTTTGCATGAAAACGCGTTTCTTGACGGTCCCGTAGATTTTATTCACCTTGGTGATGAATTTTTTTCGAAACCCGTAGCACATGACCAGGAACACGATGAAATTCGACGAGTGGGAGAGAACCTCGGCCAGTTCGTGGACAACGATGGTGATGGCGACGTAAGCCGCCTTGGGGTACTCGCCGTTGCTCTTGTTGGCGGCTGCGGCGGCGTCGTTGCAGCCGATGGAGTTCGGTCTGATTTTGAGGAACAGGTTGCCGCAGGCGGCCAAGTTAGTGATCTTGTCGAAGACAAACGTGGCGCCGGTCAACATCACCAGGTTGGTAATGCTGAACTTGCAGGCTTCGTTGGTCGCCGGTGTCGGCTGAATCGGCAGGGTCGGTGTTTCGGGAGAAATTCGTGGTACAGTGGCCAGATGACCCCTTTGTCTGTGGTGCAGCATTCGCTGTCGCCTTTCGGCAGTGACGATGCTGACGACGGAGAAGAGCATTATTGCGAGGCTGATGCTCGACCAGACGCATTCTGCGAATACCTCGTAGCCGAGGTACCAGCGACTTTGCGAGATGTGGCTGTTTTCGACCAGTAGCCGAAGCGTCGTGCCGTTGATCTGCACCTGGCCGACGTAGGTGACCAAGCATTCGGTCAGGCCTGCAGTGGACAGTACGAACGACAGCAGAATGGACGCGACGACCAGTCGCTGTTTGGTGTTTTCGCGGACGAGGTGCCAGAAGACCGGCGTGCAGACGGCCAGGTAACGTTCCAGCGACAGCAGCTGGAACAGTAAATCGCTGAAATTCGATGACACCTTGAGCATCGCCGTAAGGCCGACGATCAGTGTAAAGTTGTGGACGGTGACGCCGCCGTGACGCAACATGTTCGCCTGCATGATCAGGTGCGAAAGGTTGTAGACCAGCTCGGAGACGCACATCAGCACCATCATCTTGAAGAAGTTCTTCGCCCTACGGTACGTCGGGTCGCAGACCGTGAACAGGCACAAGAGGGCGCTGATCGTCCCGATCGGCGACAGCACGATGACCACGACCGTCTCGAACAGTCTGCACCCGCCGTAGATGTGCTTAATCGCGTTCACGGTGCTAGCGGTCACTTGTTCAGTGCAGTTGTCACTGAGCACTTCGAAGCGCCACATGTGGTTCCTCTTCATCGCTTGGCTGTTTCCTTAGGTTGAACGGAAAAACGGCTGCTTCGGTGTGAAAGTTGACATGGCGACGCGTTGCTGGTTTTGGTACAAGTCTGAAACAACACGTTTTACTTCCGAGCGACGAACAACGTGATACAGAAACGAAACGAAATACTACGTCAGCCGGCTTTCAGCAGCTCAACGGAGGATCGTTTTGATGGAGGAAAATTGATGAGACGGAGATGACCGACAACAAGTCGCTGTATCGAGACACCAGGTGACCGAAATATGATGCTGATTGGTACGAATGGTTGAGTAGTTCAGGTATCTAGTCACTGAATATGTGCATTTGTTCATTCTGTGGAACGCATATTCAAGATATTTTTTCATCGATTCCGCCATAACTGCAATTAACTTCTCCTTTGCAATATATTCGCACGAACGAAATGCAAAATACACAGGCCCCAGAGAGTAGGTTCAGCGTGTTGAAGAATTGGCTAACTTCAGTATTAATTAGGTCGAAATGATTTGGTTGAACCGTGACGGAAAAAAGCTTTTCATTAATAGAAAGTTTAATAGAGTTGCTAAGCAATACATTGTTTGTTTTTTGTTATGGCTTTGTCATGCAGCTCATTCAGCGCTTGTTATTCATGCATGAATGGGATCGGTTGTTGCGTAGATTTGTCACAAAATTTCCTTTTCTTCGCGATCTGCATCGGTTTGTCCTAACGGGCACTTTATACCGAGTTTAGAACGAGCGATTCGACGACATGCTATTACAGGATGTGCAGAACAATGAGGAAGGGGAGGGAATTTTTCTTTTGCCTATTACCCGTATATTGCCTACTAGCCTAATAGTCCTATGCTTCTTGCATATGAGTCTTTTTCCTCTGCTGGGAGGACAGAATGTGTGATGAGATGACATCATCGTACCTTTAGAAACAAATCTTGATTGTACACCACACACTTAATAGTTTGATTGTTTTGACGTAGTCCAATTGAACACAGATGGGCTTCACTACGTTCCACGTTTCTTCAGTTTTGAAACTACATTAAAGCTTAAACACAAGCTCAACTCTGTCTGCAGCCAGTGTAAACGCAAGGTACACATGCTCTGCTACTTGTACAACGTCTTTATCAAGGGACGGATGCATGCATTTGTCTGGGTTAAAAATTTTTTTATTCCCTTCGTTTTCTCTAAGGTCACTGATAGACCCATATCAGACTGCCTCTATATCAGAGAGTTATCACCAGTGATGCTGCAGCTTAGGAGTGGTCTGCTAGTGTTTCAACATTATCCAAAGAATTCAAGATGTTGTCTACTCTTGCCTATCTCATGGCTTTGTTCCACTGTGCGCGCTGCACATGATCCATTATTAATGAAAAATCATATATCTTTTTTTAATTCTACTCCTAGTCTTTGCCTGCATTCTTCCATATTGTTCAGCGGCGTTTCAAAGGGATGTTATAAGATGGCGTTAAAGGTCTTAGTGGAATTAACAAAGCTTGCAAACAAGTTGAGTCGTCATTTCTCCTTCTTTTCGATCAGCTGTATCGTTGTGAAAATCCGGCCCAAACATTATTTGTTTGCCCTTATTCCAGACTGCTCTTCGTAGAACATCTCCTTTAGATGTTGTCCGATCCTGTGCACTATAGCGTCAATGAACGCTTTAGCTGTAACGGATAGTGGCCTATTTCATAATAATTATTTGGATACGTACATCAGCCAAACAAACGTTGAAACTGCAGTATTTTACGTCCAACCATCGATCATCTGGTCTTTCTGCCATATCAGTTGAAAGAGATTCACTAAAGCTAACATTTCCTCTATTTCAGACTCATTAATCAGGCGTTGTTCCATCATTTCTAGCAGCTATGCCGAATTTTAACTTGAATTAAATTTTCATTCATTTCATCGAATGTCGACGGTTCTCAGTCGGCATCCATCATTTGTCATGCGATGAATCTTCCGCGATAAGGTAAGCTGACATTTTACTTAAATTTAATTGGTCATTGATTTTACGCACAGTTTTACGAAACACTAACTTGCAAGTTCAGTGAGGACATAGAGTATGTTCTCATGCCACCGATATGCCATGGGAATTAATGCAGTCATTGTACAGTGGAATCTTGTTTGCTGCGATAGCACTGATTGCTAAGCGTGATCTTATTCTTTTCAGGATTGTTCACAGAAAGTGGGTACTAATCTATGGCCTGTTTTAACGTGCAGTTCAGGCTGACCATAATACTGTAAAAACAGTCCATCAAGAAATTTTCTGCTAATCTCATTGGACAATAAAAAAATTTTTTCACAAAAGCACGTTGGCAAGTACTCACTTCAGCTTACTAGTGAACGATTCTCCGAATTAGAATAATCTCATGCCAGAAAATTAGGGTATAGAATGGAAGGGGAGGGCGCGCCCTGAAATTTCCAGTGTATGGTACGATGATGGGTGGACTCGAGGAGCACTGTTCATCGATTCGTGGTGATGGTCATGCAGTGCGCCGTCGCAAAACAGTTTTCATGCGCTATGCCGGTCTCAACGTCACCGCTACGGACAAAGAATATATACTACTTTCTGACTTCGTGTTTCCATCTATCGATCGCAAGAGATAATTTCAATCGGTTCGGTGCATCACCTGTGTATTTCCATGCTAGGAGCAAATTAACATGAGTGATTGATCATTTGAGTTATCGTAATCATCACTGAGTAACTGGTCGAAGCCCACTACGGAGCAGACAGGAAAATTACTCGCAAACTCAGAAGCTGTTCAATTGTTTGCCATCTCCAGGTGAAGCTCGAAGAAGACACGATGAAATGCTGCAGGGTGTACCATCTGAACGGGTACTGATGACTCACGTGCAAGAAGAACGGAAAATTCATAACTTGCATCATCGGATGGGTCAAAGTGAGCTGCAGTCAGAAAATACATGATTGCATAAATGCACCATGCGGTCTTTACTACACGCAGGTCTGAGGCCTGCCCCTTGTTTTTCGGTTGGTTGTACCGGAGCACAGTAGGTTGAATTCGATTGTTCAGGCGAATTAGCAGTTAGCAGAGAAAATTTACGCTACTCGCAAGGTTTGAACCCGGCATTCTGCAGTTGAAACTTCTTACTAACCCATTTCGTCAGTGATGTTGCGCTCTCCCCTCGCTGAGTGCATGGTATGAGGAATATAGAGGCTGTAATGCTACTCCTGCCGCTTAATGATCATAATAACGAAGATTTGGTGTAGCCATTGCACCAGTTGTTCTACTCCCATGTTATGGTCTCTGAACGAACGATGAATTTCGTACATACTAGTTCGAGTTCGAACTTCGAAACAACGTTCTTGCACATTTCTATTAAAACGGTGATTCGCTGTCGTAAAATGTCGTTGTTATTAATGATCGCATGC